AGTGGGGTGGTAGTGGTGGTGATAATGGTGGAAGTGGGGGTGGTGGTAGTGGTGGTGATAATGGTGGTAGTGGGGTGGTGGTAGTGGTGGTGATAATGGTGGTAGTGGGGTGGTGGTAGTGGTGGTGATAATGGTGGTAGTGGGGTGGTGGTAGTGGTGGTGATAATGGTGGTAGTGGGGTGGTGGTAGTGGTGGTGATAATGGTGGTAGTGGGGGTGGTGGTAGTGGTGGTGATAATGGTGGTAGTGGGGTGGGTGGTAGTGGTGGTGATAATGGTGGTAGTGGGGGTGATAGAAGGAAGGAGCAGCTGTAGTGATGAGATGGTTATGATGTTGGGGGTGGGGGTGTTGGGGTGAGAGAGCTAGGAAAGGGGAGGTTGGGGAGGGATGTGGGGAGGATATTCTTACACGGTAATTACTTTTCTGTAATTCACAAGTGCTTCATTTTATGACCTGTTATCATAGGGATCAGTGTTTTACCTTCACTAGTTCAGCTGTTACATCAAGGAACCCAATTTTCTTCTGTTAATTTACCGAGTTGTTGAGTAATAGTGTGGAGGGAGGGGTGGCTGGTGGTGGGGGTGGCTGGTGGTGGGGGGGTGGCTGGTGGAGGGAGGGTGGCTGGTGGTGGGGGGGTAGCTGGTGGTGGGGGGTGGCTGGTGGTGGAGGGGTGGCTGGTGGTGGGAGGGTGGCTGGTGGTGGGGGGGTGGCTGGTGTTGGGGGGTGGTGGTTGGTGGGGGAGGGGTGGCTGGTGGTGGGGGGGTGGCTGATGGTGGGGGGGTGGCTGGTGAGGGGGTGGCTGGTGGTGGTGGGGGTGGTGGCTGGTGGTGGTGGGGGTGGTGGCTGGTGGTGGTGGGGGGGTGGGTGGCTGGTGGTGGTGGTGGGGGGTGGCTGGTGGTGGGGGTGGCTGTTGGAGGGGGTGGCTGGGGTGGTGGGGGGGTGGCTGGTGGTGGGGGTGGCTGGTGGTGGGGGGTGGCTGGTGGTGGGGGGTGGCTGGTGGTGGGGTGGCTGTGGTGGGGGGTGGCTGGTGGTGGGGGAGGGGTGGCTGGTGGTGGGGGTGGAGGGAGAGATGGAGGACTCTGTTTCCACCTACACTTCCCCATCTCTTCCCCTTTTCAATCCTCCCCTCCATGACACAAGAGCTGTTTTGATCCTCCACATCATAACAATTTAGTTTTGCTGAATAAGGTGTAATTATGTTCGTGTGATGATAGTCATTACGGCTCTGGTAATACTAGAGACGAGAGGGAGCGGCCCGGCTGCTGCTGACTGCTGTACCTACTACTGCCCTCACTCACTCACTCACTCAACCTCACTCACTCACCACTCACCAAACTCTCACTCACTCACTCACCACTGTAGCTACATCTTTCCTCGTTCATCAATCACCCATTCACCAGGGAGGGGGGTCAGGAGGGAGGAAGAGGGTCAGGGGAAAGGGAAGGGGTAAGGAGGGAGTGGGTCAAGGAAGAGATGAAGGAGAGAAGTAGGAGGGGGGATCAAGGGAAGGAGGGGGTCAGAGGGAGGAGGGAGGAAGAGCCCCCTACCCCCTCACTTGTTTAGGGCCACAATTATCACCTAAGTCGTGTATCACATTTTAATGGCGCGGCCTCCTCTCTCCTTGATAAAGTGTATTGTGGGAGGTGAGTAATGGCGCCGCTATACTCTGATAAAGACGCCCCACCACCACCAAGCCTCTATCATTACACTTATGACCTGTTTGTTGTGTACATTTGTTCTTAACTCCCGTCCGCCGTCCTTGAAGTAGTGTTGTTCTTCGTTGTCGTTCAGGTTGTGTAAGTTATCGTTTCGTTGTGGAATGTCATTTTTTCATAATTACGCATCAGTTGCTGTAGTCTTCTTAGTCACCTGACGAGAAAACACCAAACCGAACCCAGGCACAAACCCAGAACCGAACCCAGGAATCAAACTCAGGCATGAACCCAGAACCGAACCCAGGCACCGCATCAAACTTCCCTGATCAAGACAAGAGGTTTATTATCATGTTAAGAGAATCTTAAAAATCACTTTCTTTCTGATCTTACGATGTTAAGTTAAGTTACGATACAGAGTTCAACCAGTCCCTAGTGATGCTGAGACTTTTACCGTTAAGTAAATGCGTTCTCTTACCCCCCACACACAGACAGTTAGGGAGTGTAGATGATAATTAAAATACAAAAACTCTCCAAAAGACCAGTTTTAAGCTTCTGATGCTCATGCAGTCCAGCACAGCACAGTACAGTACAGTCTGGCCGCTCATGACGTCACTACCACCACCACACACCGTTCGCGATGACCGCAGATCCGCCCACACATGAACATCAACACACAGACACACACACATGTCGGTACAATATGCAAATACGTATACTGTCTGTCTGTCTGTCTGTCTGTCACACGTAAGTTCATCTGCCATTTTACTTAATATTGTAACGACTGAAACATTATACTCTTACTGTCGCTTCTTTCTCTACTTTCAATAAATATTAAAAATTAAAGGAGGAAATAATAAGGACAAAGATAAGTTTCCATAAGTCAATACATTAGTGAGTTGTGAACACGTGTATGAGTGTTACGCGTTTAGTGTTGCAAGCATACAGTAACCCCCCCCCCCTCCTCCACTAAACATACATACGTTTTGAGTCTTTTGCAACACCAAACCAAGATGTTGCAAGAAATGTTTAAATATACAGGAAACTAATTGATTATATGAGTTAATACACTAATATAATACACATTTTAATACGCTAATATAATACACATTAATACAGTATTTTTTAATTATTTTTTCTCTAAAGGTGTGAATATTTGTCTATTGTATTTAATTTATCAATCACTCAGTAAGATAATTTTAGTGTTTTGTTATTCATTATTAATCTGAACACACACACACACACACACACACACGTCTCACAATCATCGCTAAATAAAAATATTGTTTCAGGAGACAGTATGTAGAGCCTTTAAGTGACTAAAGTGTTCCTCTAAGTGACCAAATAAGTGTTGTCTCTCATGTAGCTACTGAAGAGAGAGAGAGAGAGAGAGAGAGAGAGAGAGAGAGAGAGGAGTCGAGTTCTTCCTACCCATAAGTCCCACTAGCGTCCCTCACACACTGATGGTCAGCCCCCCTCCCCTCCTCCTCCTCCTCCTATAGCTGAATGTCTTGGGTAGAAATTCATGACAAAAAGATTCCTACACAACATACAATAATAAATTAGTAAAACAATGCTCATACTGCTGGTGGTGGTAGTAGTAGTAGTAGTAGTAGTAGTAGTAGTAGTAGTAGTAGTAGCAACACTGGTAGTAAAGGAGAGGAACCGGAGACGCAGACGAAGAAGAAAGAGAAGAAATAACAGCAACAACAGGAGGAGGAGGAGGAGCAGAAAGAAGAGGGGGGGAGGAGCATCACCAGACGATGAGAAGAAGAAGGAGGAGGAGGAGGAGGAGGGAGGAGGAGGAGGAGGAGGAGAAGACCACCAGGCGATGAGGAAGAAGGAGGAGGAAGAGGAGAGACAAACCAGACGACGAGGAAGAAGGAGGAGGAGGAAGAGGAGGAAGAGGAGGAGGAGAAGGAGGAGGAGGAGAAGGAGGAGAGCACCAGCACCAGGCGATGAGGAAGAAGGAGGAGGAGGAAGAGGAGGGAGGAGAAGGAGAAGCACCAGCACCAGGCGATGAGGAAGAAGGAGGAGGAGGAGGAGGAGGAGGAGGAGGAGGAGGAGGAGGAGAAGCACCAGCACCAGGCGATGAGGAAGAAGAAGAAGAAGGAGGAGGAGGAGGAGGAGGAGGAGGAGGAGGAGGAGGAGAAGCACCAGCACCAGGCGATGAGGAAGGAGGAGGAGAAGAGGAGGAGGAGACCAGGAGAGGAAGAAGGAGGAGGAGGAGGAGGACCAGCACCAGGCGATGAGGAAGGAGGAGGAGGAGGAGGAGGAGGAGGAGGAGGAGGAGGAGGAGAAGCACCAGCACCAGGCGATGAGGAAGGAGGAGGAAGAGGAGGAGGAGGAGGAGAAGCACCAGCACCAGGCGATGAGGAAGGAGGGAGGAGGAGGAGAGGAGGAGGAGGAAGAGGAGGAGGAGGAAGATGAGGAGGAGGAGGAGAAGGGAGGAGAGGACCAGCACCAGGCGATGAGGAAGGAGGAGGAGGAGGAGGAGGAGGAGGAGGAGGAGGAGGAGGAGGGAGGAGGAGGAGAGGAGGAGGAGAAGCACCAGCACCAGGCGATGAGGAAGAAGGAGGAGGAGGAGGAGGAGGAGGAGAAGCACCAGCACCAGGCGATGAGGAAGGAGGAGGAGGAGGAGGAGGAGGAGGAGGAGGAGGAGGAGGAGGAGGAGGAGGAGGAGAAGAAGGAGGAGGACCAGCACCAGGCGATGAGGAAGGAGGAGGAGGAGGAGGAGGAGGAGGAGGAGAGCAGGAGGACCAGGCGATGAGGAAGGAGGAGGAGGAAGAGGAGGAGGAGGAAGAGGGAGGAGGAGGAAGAGGAGGAGGAGGAGGAGGAGGATCAACACCAGACGACGAGGAAGGAGGGAGGAGGAGGAGGAGGAGGAGGAGGAGGAGGAGGAGGAGGAGGAGGAGGAGGACCAGCACCAGGCGATGAGGAAGGAGGAGGAGGAGGAGGAGGAGGAGGAGGAGGAGGAGGAGGAGGAGGAGGAGGAGGAGAGACCAGCACCAGGCGATGAGGAAGAAGGAGGAGGAGGAGGAGGAGGAGGAGGAGGAGGAGGAGGGAGAAGCACCAGCACCAGGCGATGAGGAAGGAGGAGGAGGAAGAGGAGGAGGAGGAAGAGGAGGAGGAGGAGGAGCACAACCAGGAGAGGAAGGAGGAGGAGGAGGAGGAGAGGACCAGGCGATGAGGAAGGAGGAGGAGGAGGAGGAGGAGGAGGAGGAGGAGGAGGGAGCATCAACACCAGACGATGAGGAAGAAGTAGGAAGAGGAGGAGAAGGAGGCGGACTAACACCAGACGACGAGGAAGAAGAAGGAGCAGCAGTAGCAGCAGAAGTAAGACGCATACCTTGTGTGACGGTGCCTGTGTGAGGAACCTTAGCTATACTGGGAGGTATTGAGTCGCTCTTCCGTCTAAGCTCAAGTTCCCGGAGGTGGTCGCTGAAGCGGGTGTCTAAGAAGGGTCGCTGGCCCAAGGCGAAGGCACGGAACTGTTGTTGGCCTGAGGGGCAGAGGGAGAGGGATGTGGTCAATGTTTGCTGGCTGACAGAGGGAGAGAGAGAGAGGTGTGTGTGTGTGTGTATTTGAAATCTTAATTGCCTCAGACACACATACACACACACACACACTCATCTAACACCTTAACGTCAGCTACAAGTTAGTTTAGTTAGTTACAAAGCCAGCAGGGACTAATTATATTATTATTATTATTATTATTATTATTATTATTATTACTATCTGTAACACCTGTCAATCAATCTATCTACCTGACAGGTCACTACACACCGCCGACATAATGGAACTGTCTACTTCTACCTGTTCCACCCAGTCAATCAGTCAAGTCAGTTTACCTAACCAAGTCAGATGGTTCCCGGACGTGAGCCTGGGACTGCACTACCCAATCCAAACAAACATTTAAAACACAAGGTAAAAAACACAGCAACAAAAACGAGAGAATAACGAACAAACAAACCACCAACTCGTGTTAACTAATATTTACTGAAGGTAGAGGTTAGGTTAGGTTAGGTTAGGTTAGGTTAGGTGGGGTTCAGTTAGTGCTGGTGTGTGTGTGTGTGTGTGTAAAGCAACAGAGAGTAGACAGAGCACATATAGAGCCAGCGTTTAGCATTTTACATAGCAGAGACATTCTTTTAGCAGATGTAGAGCACTAGAGAGCAGAAGCAGAGTAGATGTAGAGCAACAGGTTTAGCACAGACAGAGACACAAGTTTATCATCAAATATAGAGCCAAAAAAAGTTTAGCATATTACAGAGCAAATGTTGTTGATATTTACCAGATGTTTAGCAGTGTAGAGCAACATGGGTATAAACATTGAGGCGTTTACTAGTTGTGGAAAAAAACAGAAACCCACTAAATTGTTGTCACGTCGACCACCGCTCTGGTAACACTGACAACACTACTTAACAAAACACAAGCAAACAAAAGTAAAATATATATATAACTTAAATGAACAAATAAATAAACAAGAAAAATAATAAAAGAATAAACACCAAGGGAAGAGAAAGAACAAAAAGACATAAAAATAGACAAAAATAACATCAAAAAAATCCCCAAAAATAAATAATTGTGTTTCCTTAACATTTCAAACCACAAAAACAAACTTTCCTTACCCAATTAAACTAAACTATAATCCCCACAACATACTGTAATTATCTGTACTAACTAACCTACATAAATAATAATGATAAGAACAAATCAATACATATATATGGTTGGTCAGGCCAGAGGGTAACTTGACTATTTTAAGATGGGTTAATGTCATCTATCTGTGTTTAGGAGGAAGGAGGGAGGGAAGGAGGGAGGGAAGGAGAAAGGAGAGGAGGAGAAAGGAAAGAGGGATGGAGATGAGGGAAAGATGAAGGAGGGAGGAATGAAAGGAAAGAGGGATGGAGATGAGGGAAAGATGGAAAGGATGAGGGAAGGATAAATGGATGTAGGGATGCAAGGATATAGAGATGGAGATGAAAGATGGATGAAGGAGGGAGGGGAGGGGAGGGAGAAAGGAGAGAGGGAGAGAAGGAGAGAGAGAGAGGGATGGAAGGAGGAAGTAAATCTCTAAGGTCGCAGTTCAGGAGAGGGGAGAGAGGCGAACATAGGGACCAAGTTTATAGAAGCCAACTGTACAATAAAAATTCATAAAACTCCTAATATAAATGGCGTCTCAGTTGTATATAACAATGAGGCCAGAGACTGTATTAGGCTCTACTCTAAGAAGCGGTGTTGCAGTAAAAAGTTAATAAAATAATACTACAAATTACATCCTGAACGAAGATTGTATCATTGAACACAGCTCAGTCGACCACCATCTTACCGCGGGTCAGTGGTTTGTCGGTAATATAGTGAAACTTCCATATAACGTACTTTTAACGGATTCTCAATATAACGGAATTTTTAAAAGACCCTCGATATAACGGACTTTCATATGACACCATACACCCTACATTGAGACACTACATACCACACTGCAGCACTATACCCTACAGTGAGGCACCATACATTACAATAAGACACCATACACCCCAACACCCAACCTGGGAAGGTGTAGTGTAGGAGCAGGAGAGAGGGTGGTGTAAATGAGGGAGAGAGGGGTGAGTGGTAGCGGCCCTCACCCACACGCGCGTCTTATCAAACTCATCACAAGTCACCTACAACAAGTCGTCATCACCCACCACTACTTTTTAATACTATCATCAAGGAGCACATGGGGCGTGGGAGGAGGGGAGCCATGGTGGGGGGCCGAGAGCCATGGGTGTGGGGCGGAGCCATGGTGGGTGTGGGCGGAGAGCCATGGTGGGTGTGTGGGCGTGAGAGCCATGGTGGGTGTGTGGGCAGCCATGGTGTGTGGGGCTGAGAGCCATGGTGGGTGTGTGGGGGCGTGAGAGCCATGGTGGGTGGTGGGCGTGAGAGCCATGGTGGGGTGTGTGAAGGGAGAGCCATGGTGGGTGTGTGGGCGGAGAGCCATGGTGGGGTGTGTGGGCGGAGGAGCGTAATGAGAGCCATGAGGGTGTGTGGGCTTGAGAGCCATGGTGGGTGTGTGGGCGTGAGAGCCATGGTGGGGGCCGTGAGAGCCATGGTGTGTGTGGGGCGGAGGTGGTGATGAACCAAGTAGGGTGTGGGGCGGAGAGTCATGGTGGGTAATGAGAGCCATGGTAGGGTGTGTGGGCAGAGAGCCATGTGGTGTGGGGCCGTGGAGAGCTATGGTGTGGGGTGAGAGCCTATGGTGGGTGTGGGCGTGAGAGCCATGGTGGGTGTGGGGCGGAGAGCGCAGGGTGTGGGGGCCGGGAGAGCCATGGGGGGTGTGGGGCGTGATGGTGTGGGGCCGTGAGCTTGTGTGGGTGTGAGACTATGGTGCGGACTGAGAGCCATGGTGTGGGGCGGCCGGTGAAGAGCCATGGTGGGTGTGAGTGAGAGCCATGGGGGGCCGTGAGAGCCATGTTGGGTGGGGGCTTGAGAGCCATGGTGGGTGGGGCCGTGAGAGCCATGGTGGGTGTGGGCCGAGAGCTGCAGGGTGTGGCTGACTCTCACTACTGTCCTCCTCCACTCAATCATCACCACGGGTGTTCTACTTAACCCAGTGATAACAAAATGAGAGAGAGAAACGGTGTTAAGTAAACATTTGGTTGTGTGTGTGTGTGTGTGTGTGTCTCTCTGCCAGCTGTACACGTACAGTAAAAACCCTATTTAACGGACTATAGAGATGCAAGTCCGTTAAATCAAGGGTCCATTAAATGTGAACCTCTATAAACGGACTGTATGGAGATTAAAGTCCATTATATGGAGGGTCCGTTAAATATGAAAACACTCATATAGAGGAAAAGGCCGTAATATGGCGGTGTCACTGCAGGTGGGCAAGTGATTAATCTCCAGGTGTAGGGCCACGGATAATAACAGACTGTGACTTATTTCTCTAACTCATTATAAAACTAAAACTGTCCGGAATCATTAACTGTCCGGTAATCATTAACGTCCGGTATAATCATTAACTGTCCGGTATAATCATTAACTCGTCCGGTATAATATGTCAAGATACAGTTATTGTTGTTTATGTTAATGAGCATCTATGGTGGAGGTAGTTAGCCTGCGAGCCTTCCCCCTCCTCCCTCCAGACCTCCTCCTCGCCCTCCATCAATCTTTCACTCTTTCTTCCCTCCAGACCTCCTTCCCTCCCACCCTTCCCCTCCTCCACTCCAGACCTCTTCCCTCCACTCCAGGCCTCCTCTTCCTCCCCACCTTCCCTCCCACCTTCTGTCAATGGTCACCACATCTCCCGTTCACATTAACGTCTGTCTGTCTGTGTGTGTGTGTGTGTGTCCTAGCCTCATATGTTGTGGCCGCATGACTCCTGCTGCCGCCACCTGACGGACGGACGGACGGACGGACACACACACACACACACACACACACACACAAACACACACACACACACACACACACACACACACTGTACAGGAGGATCTAGAAGACTTTGTACCACTCATACTTGTCACCACAGTACAGATTTGGTAGTGGTGGTAGTAAAAATAAAACATATACCACTACTACAGTATAGATTGTGGTAGTGGTGATAGTAACAACAACATATACCACTACCACAGTACAGATTGTGGTAGTGGTGGTAGTAATACCACCACCACACTACAGGGGTTGGGCTGGTGTGGAGGAAGTTTATATATGTTATGGACCGACTCTTTAATATATCTAAGGCGGAAGTGGCTTATTAACTGACGTACGACAACACCTACCACACACCACCATCACCACCACACCACCACCATCATCACAACACACCACCATCATCACACCACACCACACCCTCACCACACACACTACCACCATCACCACCACACACCATCACCAAACATCACCGGACCACACTCGCCACACTACGCCACATTATCACCACCATCACACCCTCACCACACACACCACCACCATCACCACACACCACCACCATCATCACCACACACCATCATCACACTACACTGTCACCACCACACCACACACTACCACCATCACACACCATCACCACACACCACCACCATCACACACCACACACCACCACCATCACACACCATCACCACACACCACCATCACCACACACCATCACCACACAACTTGCACCATCAAATATCCGCACTAAAATGATCTTATTTTGCTACATAGTCGGTGACGGGGTAGGGTGGTCAGGACTGGAGGAGCCAAGGGAAGCCAGGAGGGGAGAGTCAGGGAGAAGGCCAGGAAGGGAGAGTCGGGAGCAGGCCAGGGAGGGGAGCCGGGAGCCAGGGAGGGGGAGTCAGGGAGCAGCCAGGAGGGAGGCTGAGGGGGGCACAGGAGACCAAAATGTTAATACCATGAAATAAATAAATAATAATAATAATAATAATAATAATAATATTATAGGAAGAAGAAGAAGAGGAAGACGTGTGAGACAGGCGTGGAGGGTGATAATGAAGGAAAGAAGAGGGAAAGGAGGAGGAAGAGAGGTAGAGAAGGATGGGAAGAGATAGGAGAAGATTGAGAGGGAAGAAAAGATGATGAAGGAGGAGGAAGAACAAGAAGAAGAAAGAAGATAGACGAGAAGGAGAAAAAGAAAGAGAGGAGAAGGAGGAAAGAAGAAGAAGAAGAAGAAGAAAGAAGAAGAAGAAGGAGGAGGAGGAGGAGGAGGAGAGAAGAAGAAAGAGCAGGAGAAGAAGGAGGAGGAGGAGAAGAAGAAGTGGGTGTCACAGTTCTTCTGGTTCTGTCGACTAAGATGATGGCATGACAGCCTCACATTC